ATATAGGGAAATTTTTTCAAACGGTGACATTATTTGACTAAAGAAATAATACTAACAGGATACAAACTCGGGTTTGAGTTGGAATAAAAGTCTTGCAAACCAACTCTACTAAAAATAATATGTTCTCATTGCAGTTTCGAAATACATGCGGTGACACAAACCTAAAGTTTTCTMTCTTTCGACRGAGAAATAATACGGTAGCACAAAACAAATTAATATGATTTTATCATTAATCAAGTTATTTTATTCAATTTTTTTCACCCAAATCACGTTTGACTTTGAGACTATGTTTGGTAAAAACTAGTTGATAGGTTAGATCACAATATTACTATCCAAAGGAACATGTTGAAAATTGGAATGTTTTTAAGATTTTATTGAAACAAATTACAAATACATATTGCAGAAAGAGTTTTTATTACATAGTTATGGTMCCCAATACAAATTATAATTGAACTTCTTGTGAAACTTTTTGGAAATTTCGTTGTTGTCWCCTTGAAACTTTCATTAAAACAATGTTGACTTACTTTCTACGGTTTCTTGAACCCAAATCATTCTAAAAATGATTTAATATAAACTTAAATAAACAATTTAGCTATAAACTTACTTGCAATGGCTAAAATTCAATTTTCGTAATAAAAGTAATTCCGTCAATGAAGGCATTGCCAGACTAAGTACAGTAATAATCGTCATGGCTTGCATTTTGGCGTTGAAGAAGGTCCCTTTCACTAACATTGTTACAAACTTCGTCAGATGTAGGTATTCTAATCTTATCATCCGATTCTAGAATGCCCATTTTTCAAAGTAAATGCGAACCATAATAACCATTACTGTAATCAGTGAATTCTAGTGGCGTTATTCAAAGATTTGGTATATAGAATGGAAGTGGGTTGACACCAAGTCAACTCTTTTATTCGATAGAATGATACTTTTAGGTTGTTTCCATGAATCTTCCATTAAAAGAAGGTGTTCAGCTTATTACTTGAATTCATCTTTTTCTAATATAAATCCAAATAACATTATTATACTTCATACTACGATGTAAATTCATGTAAATACTGAAACTTTGTTGTAGGTTTTGAATCATTCAAGAACATAAACCACAAATCATTAACCTAAGCAAGTTATATTTTGTAATCAATAAGAATTTTGAGAACAAATATCATTCATTATATGAGATTTTCTAATGATCAAAATAGTGAATAATTCAAATAATTTAAGAAAGTTGAGAGTAATATTTTGAAACTTTTGTTAAATTAAATCAACAATCTATTCCTTTTTCAAAATTTTACCTATTTTTTTAATAAAATAATAGATTTTTAAATCAAATTATCTAAAATATAATTAATATTTTAATTAAATAAATTATACCAGAAAATGAGAATCTCATTATCTTTAATTTAAGAACGATGAAATATATATATTATATATATATATATAGAGAGAGAGAGAGAGAGAGAGAGTGAGAGTGTGTGTGAGTTATTATACAACTCTTTACATTTGTACAACCAATACAACCCAATCTCAACCGTCCACTTAATTTGATGAATATGTGATTTTATAGAAGTTTTGATTGTTTCCTAATATAAAGTATTGATCATAATTAATGAACCCTATTCATCTTCCATAAATATTCAAATCATAATAAATGAACTCTCATCATTTCCATAAATGTCTCAATTTATTGGGTTGCATTGGTTATACAAATGTGATGAGTTGCATTTGAAACGATCTCTTTCTCTCTCTCTCTCTATACTATTATAGTTTGTGCACAAACTCTAAATCTACAAGATATGGTATAGTTTACAAACATATTGTGAACCAAAACTAAATTAATAAAGCTAAAACCTAACATACATTTGTGAACACGGTCTAAACCTTGTGAATACCCTAGTAAAAAAAATTATTAATAGTTTTTACATTGTGTTCAGTGTATGCTAATACGGAGATAGGAGAGAAAGATATAAGTATGAAATTTTCTTAAAAATGCACACTACAACAAAAACAAGTTTATAGGACACTTTTTTGGGACACTTTTCAAGACTCGTCCTTTAAAAAAGGCTACTACGACACATTATTTTATTAGTCCTATTTGATTTAATTTAATAGGACTCTTATTTTTGATGTCTTGCGAACAAAAAGATTAGTGCAAGTAATGAATAACAGAAGAAAAAMCAAAACAATCTACGTTGTAGTCTAGCCCATCGAAACTTGGTCTAAGCTTTTGTTGTATCTCCGCATTATGATGCTGTTAGAGTCTATCCACTTCGCTTTGCCATACACGTATAGGCTTGCCATACAAACAAGCACCCGAAACTCTAAGAGCCAAAGGGTGGCCTTGCAAACATTTCACAACTTGGTAAGCGATCCCCTCGAAATCCTTTCTAGGATTGTTTTTGCCAAAAGCATACAAACTAAAAAGATCCACAACTTCATAATCCGGTAAAAATGCCATGTCATAAATTTCATCCACTTTATGATACCATAAAAGCCGTTTGTCTTTACCTGTGAAAATAATAAAACTTCCTGGAAAAAACCAATTAGGTGAACCCACGAGTACTTCTAACATATCACAATGATCCACTTCATCAAGAACAAGTAGGATCGGCTTTGTTGGCATCCTTTCCTTTATTACCATAATTCCTTCACTAACATTCGATATCTCTACTACTCTTGGAGATCCCATCCAGCCATGAATATAGCTTCCTACCATTCAGCAACCTTTGTTCTATTTGAAATTTCATGTTTGGCAAACGCTTCTGCATAGCTCCCGATCTGTTTCCTCATCACATCAGGCTTCACGCATCATAAAAAATGATTCGAAGCTCATGTTTGTGCTCTCCCATCTTCTTGCGCTCAAGGATTTTTTCAAGTTCCCTCGAACACCATGATGAAGATGCATAATTTTTTAGAGAATATAACTATCAAAAATCTCGATTCTTCAATGACTTTGTTGAGTTGAGGAGATATATTTTCTCCTAAAGAGACATCATTAATCATTATCATCTCTAACGCATGAATTCCTTTTTGTCCAAAATCTTTGAATAGATGATCCATAAAGCTTTTATGGATATCTTCACCTCTAAAGCTTACAAAGACATCATATGTCCATCAATGTCGTTGAGCTTACGCAGTAGCCATTATCAATGATGAAAGCTGTGTTAAGCACGAGTAAAGATTAGCAAAAAGGATGTAGCTTAAAAACTATGATGCAAGATGGATGAGTAAAAAAGACTGAGCAAGTAAGAATATCACTGCGTATGATTGGATTAGATATAGAGCGAAAGGTAACAAGTCTCTTAGCTGGGAGAGGTGGATATGTAATCCGGTTGAGGCTGTGTACTCTGTTATTAACTAGCTCCTCGCTAGTCCTTTTCTCCGTTCTTAATAAATTCTCTTTTGCGATTCAAAAAAAAGTAAGAGTATCACAAATGGGGATCTATCAAGTTCTAGTCTCATAGACAAGTAAAAAAGTTGGATTGAGTGATGAAAATGAAATGGAACTAAAATACTGATCCAAAGTCAACAATTTTGACCTAAAAAACAAGATGTTAAATTACAAGTTCATATAAAGAAGCTTATATAGGGTGAGGAAAAGGCAAACCAATTGAAAGGAGCAACGATTTCAAGTAGTCTCGTCGAATTCTCATTGACTCGAAGTTCTGTGATTAGCTATTAAGGTGTGAGTTTTTGGGTTTGTTTGGGGTAGAATCTCATCAATTCAGTCAATATTAGCATGCGGTTCGTCAATCGAGCCCCAAAATTCTGCCCGTTTCCCCTTCGAAATTTGTCCTAGTAATTAATTGCTTAAAGTTAGTTGGTAGAGTTTCGGTTATTTTATCATCAAGAGAGGTGTGCGAATCGCCAGAAAAACGGGTCAAATGACCGTCGATGTGGCGTGACTTTTCTGTTTGGGCTGCTGGTCTGTGTGGGAAGAGGCTGCCCAAATAGAAATTAAGCTGTTGATGCGTATATTCGATGAGTGTCATGCTTTTTATATATCCAATTCGATATCTTTGAAGCCATAGTTGTTGTATCCCTATTATGGAGCTTTTCACAAGTTACCTTCCATTTTATTTATATTGCTTCCATTTTAGTATTTAAGATTCATAGAATATGGATGGATTTTAGTAGTCGTAAAATCAAATTTGTTTTGTTTTATGTCATTAAGTTATCAATTAGTATCAATAGTAAATCTTGTGTATTTTTAGGTCGGGTATAAAGGAGTAGACTTGGAGAATTGGTAAGCTTGGTAAAATTTAAGGTACGGATTCCTAAACTTTTTCGTTCGTATAATTCGTTTAAATATGTTTATGAACCCTTTAACTCATGTTTATTCAAATTGTCCCTTATCACGTATTTCCGTTCACTCGTAATTGTTATACAAGATGGCAGAAACGATTTGTCTTAATCGCGTTGTTTAAGTCGATTGGGTTGGCACAAATTTGTGTTTTCTCCAAAAGATTATGTTTAATGGTTAGGTAGCATTTTAGTATGATTTTTGTACCTCTAAATGTACATATATTTGTACTTGTAATCGGTTATATATCTTTATTTGAGCCATCTTGATTGTTGCAACTACTTGTTCGATCAACGTTTTCTTACTTTGCTTATGTTTGTTTATTCACTCGATTTCAATACGGTTCCTTCTTAACTAAGACTGTATGACGTCACATTCGTTGTGACAAGTTAACTCTGGGTAAATCGAGCTACTAACCACCTATGTTACCATAGGCACATCATTGTGGTACCGATGACGTGAGACTAACCGTGGCAGTGTAATCAGTCCACGACGTCTCCACTTTTTTACTCTTGTGAGAGCTATTTTAGTGTGATGGATATTAAATTTAGGAGGCGTATGGGTTAGCCTTAGCACATAAGATTGTTTGGAGTATTAATTATTTTGGAGGTTTTATATACTTGTTACATTATGTTTGAAGTAACCCCCCTTCTTTTGGAATGGGGGTGTTACATATAATTATAAACTAGCCGAAAAACAAACTGTTGCCTACTAAAGTAGCTAATGAATGAGTCATATTTGGTAAAAACTAGTTGATAGGTTAGATCATAATGTTACATGATTTAAACAAACATGTTGAAAATTAACTGAAAGATATTTGGAAAAAATTTAAGAGTTAATTGAAACAAATTACGAATATAAATCAGAGACAGTTTTCATTACATATACTTAGGATAATGAACACAAATTACAACTGTGAGGGAAAAATGACAAAATTATGCTAGTATCATGACATCCAAGCTTTGACATAAGCATCACCACAATACATATTTGTTTATCATACTACCTACCATGACCAATTGAAACTACGATGATTCCTCCATATTTCGATGGCACCTCCTTCATGTGTTGGAGTCGGGAGCTCCTGCATGAGACTGAAATTCGTCTATTCTTCTATATCTTCATCAAAAACAAGTCTAAAACCACATTCTTTTACCTCAACATCATCATTATCTTCAAACCAAAAAGTAACAAAATTCTTTGCCTCCTGCCATTCATGATAAACTCGAGTCTCAAAACAAAACCATATGATATCTGACTTAGGGATTTCAGTGGAACCATATATAAATTGATAGAGGTGACCCAAAGAAGTCCCATCAAAGTTGTCCACATGATAGTATGGTAAATTGTTGTAACTGAAGTGATCATAATAAGACTTTTTCAGCGTCAAAACAACACATAATCCATATCCCCTCAACTTGTTGTAGCAGAAATTTGGACGCAAATCATACTGTAAGTGATTTCCCATACTTGTATCTGTAAACCATTGTGGAATTCTATTTCCATGATATTTTATATCCAAATGGAAATTGTCTTGTCCACCGAAGATTCCACGTGTGTTAATGGGGAACTCCATAAATTGAAGCAAAGAAGAAATTTGGTTTCTAAAATTGTGGGAGGTTATAGATGAGTTAAGATCAAGTGGAGGCTGACAGATATAAAATTGGCTTTCAATACTAACATTCCTTAACAATTTTGGACAACCGAAAAAACTCATGGATAAGGATGATTGAATATTAAAATTGCTAGGTAAATGCAAGGAGGTGCAACAATATGCTTTAAGAATCAGAAGGTTAGGTGGAAGTTCTGGAAGCATTTCCAGCTTCTTGCAACCATAAAGGTAAAAACATATAAGGCGATGAAGTTGACTCAGACATCCAGGTAAGCTAGTAAAGTTGTTCCCTTCCAAGTGTAGAGATTCTAGACATGATAAGCCTCCAATGCTATCAGACACTTCCAATATATTGCTATCGCTAATATTTAATTCTCGTAAGTAACGTAAATCCACGAATGAAGACATTACTAGACTTTTTTGGGGATGTTGTATCTTACTTGGTAACCATGAATGTTGATAAATTGAAGCCCACCGTCTAGACCGCTTCTCTTCACGTCGACCAATTTTCAGTACTTGAAGGTTGCATTGAGAGAAAACAAAACAAGGAAGGTCAATTATGGCGGTTCCATCAATAGAGAACTCCTTCAACGTCTGGATTGTGCTAAAGAATTCAGGAAGTTTGTCCAGTTTTGAGCAACCCGAGAGATTCACAACTTCAAGAGAATCCATTTCGACTTTGTAGGGGAATCTCCTAAAACGTTCGCAATATCTCATATTTAGAACAACAAGCTTCTTGAGCATTCCAAAAGATGGGTGGACTTTGACCAAGTTAATACAACCTTCAAGAATTAACTCTTCGAGATTTGTAATACTTGTGAAATCAGGGGTACTTGTTAGGTTATGACAATGCTTTAGCTTCATCACTTTCAACCTTGCAAAACACTTAACATCCGGTACAAAAATGTTGGTACTTAAATCATGGGGTGTTAAAGAAAGAAAAAAATTCATGAACGAATAATTACCTTAGGTGTTGTCCAAAGAGTTTTTAAGTGGCTGTAAGACAAGTCAATGACCACAATGTTTTCTGGRTAAAAATCCAAAGGGAACTCGAAAGGGCATCCATTCCAATAAAGCAACGTTAACTCATTCGATAAAGCTTTCAACCATCCAGAGTAATTCACCTTAGAGTCCTCCCAAAAGTTTATGAGTTCCCCATAAGAAATTTTTAGGATCCGCAGATTTTTCATATCTTCAAAAGCTTNTCCAGAGTAATTCACCTTAGAGTCCTCCCAAAAGTTTATGAGTTCCCCATAAGAAATTTTTAGGATCCGCAGATTTTTCATATCTTCAAAAGCTTCACCGTCTATGTGAACGTTTTGACTAGATTGCTCTAGAGAAAGGTCAAGAACTTCCACTCCTTCTATTGCCTAGATACAAGTAATAAGATTATCAAATTCTGAATATTATGGAAACATATAACTTATATGGAAAGCAGTAACATGTGCAATTACTTAAACTATGTATTACGTAGAAAAAAGAATTATATGCCAATTCTTACCTTATTTTTGCTCAATACATTACGGAAATCTGATAAATTCCATAGTCTGCTCCACACTTCCTTTACCACAAATTCCTCATRTATAATTCTCCTTGCCATGCTTTGAATCAAATCATGCATTTGAAGTGAATTATTATCACGAGATATTGTAATAAGTGACTTATCTAGTAGAACCTCGATATTAGCATGTGCACTGCTTCCTAGTACACTTACTGCCAAATCTTTATCTTCCCCAATGAACGAGCAGGCGATATCAAGAAATATGTTTTTCTTATCGAAGTCTAGCGCATCAAAACTTGGTCTAAGCTTTTCTTGTATCTCTGCATCAGGATATTTTTGGAGTATATCCACTTCGCTTTGCCACACATCCATAGACTTGCGATACAAATGACTACCCAAAACTATAAGAGCCAATGGGTGCCCTTGCAAACACTTCAGAACGTGGTCAGAGAGCACCATGAAATCCCCTGTTGGATGCTTATGGCGAAAAGCATACAAATGAAAAAGCTCCTTGGCTTTATGAATCGGTAAAAATGACATGTCATGAATGTTATCTACTTCATGAGACCTTAGCAACTGTTTGTCTTTACCGGTGAAAATAATAAAACTTCCAGGGCAAAACCAATCATGGGAACCGGCTAATGCTTTTAATTGCTCCCGATCATCCACATCATCCAGAACAAGCAAGATCGGCATAGATGCCATCCTCTCCTTTATTAACTTGATTCCATCAYTCACATTCGTTAACGTTTCAAGTCTTGTTTTCAAGATGCTATTAATAATTTGCATTTGGACTTCAGTTATGCTTTTATGTTTTGCTACTCGTTGGACATTTTCAAAAAAACAGCATCCCRTAAAGTCYATACACATCTTGTCATAAATAGCTTTGGCAAGAGTTGTCTTCCCTACACCGCTAATACCACATATTCCAAGCATGTGCACCTTACCCGGTCTAGTGAAGCGTGACAAGTCCATTTCCTC